GGACTCAATATTGACGGGGACTCAATATTGACGGGGGCTCAATATTGACGGGGACTCAATATTGACGGGGTCTCAATATTGACGCGGGCTCAATATTGACGCGGACTCAATATTGACGGGGGCTCAATATTGACGCGAACTCAATATTGACACGGTCTCAATATTGACGGGGGCTCAATGTTGACGTGGTCCCCGTTGATTTGTGTTTGATGAGCGTCGGCGGTTAAGCTCCATTCCAAAAAAGCAGAAGTGGAAATGATAAAAGAGGAAGAAGCCCGTGGGATGGGGTTGGATTTATCCCTAATATGCTTTTGCGCTCGGTGTTCGAGGAACGTTACTGCCCGAATCTAAAGGGGCCTGGTAACGCCCTACCCTCCGCCCGTCTGGCCCAAATTCGGGACCCAAGAGGCAAAGGGGCTTCAGACGTGCACTAGACTGCCACGGCCCTCAAGGATTGCGGTATGGCTAGTGCATGAGCTGAAGCCACAACTTATTCGGTGTCTGCCTTGCCTTCTACCAGGGTCCCCTCGAATCGATGAATGGGATAGGACGAAGTTGGCACACATCGCCTACAGAGGTCTTCGGGGAATTCAAGAGCTAGCCATGCTAGCAACAAACAGTGACAGAACCAGAAGGAGCAGGCCTCTCCCCTACGATCTTTGTCGAGGGGAAGGACTTTCGCTAGAGGTCTATTCCGTCCTCAGCAATCGATTACATCGTCGTCGTCGTCATCTGCATAAAGCACTGAAAACGCTCTAGTTCTAGGGAGTTTGGTGCGTTGTTCTTGACGGTCAATGTCTCGGTGAGGAGTCTGCCTTTAACCTGTCCCCGGTCATGCGAAGGATTTAATGCTGCATTAGGTCCAGGTGGATGAGGAGAAGCGACAACTCGTATCTTCAGAAGATACGGTGACTTAGGGGTGGCTACATGGGTTCTTTAGCTGAACAACGGGCGAAAGCATCCACCTTGTGACCTCCTGTGCCTTGATGCCGTGGATCCACATGAAAGGAGATGCGTATACTTCCTCTCGCTTCGCCACCAGCTCGCTCTCGAGGCATCTGCAGGGGCACTGACGCTGCAACCCCTTCCAAGTCCCGAAGGCAACTATTTTGATCTTGTTCGTATCAGCGGTGCCGAATTGGCCGAGAGCTCACCACTGCCGAGCACGGCCGTCGACCAGGATTAATTTTCAGGGCTGTCGTCATGTCGAAATGACTTAAGGCGATACGCTAGGTCCTAGGGCAGCACAAAATATCGGGTTTATAGATGGTGGCCTGAATCAAGAGAATGCATTAGGTGGTCGAGACATTAGCGAAGGTGTCATGGGGGAGACGGGGTGCATCGATAACTAAGTTACCTCTTCTGCGTCCCACGAAATCGAGCAGCTAGAGCATGCCGTCGTTTCTATATTGTCTCAACAACTGGGACTGTTCTGTACCAGTTGAGGCTCCTATCACGCCTTTCCGTCGAAGAGAAGACGTTTTGACTCCTTACATGGAAGAAGTTGACAGGAGTACAACACTCATCCTGTGAAAGTACTCCATCTTCATTCCGGCCCCCTACCGAAATACCTTCGCCAAAAGTCGTTCCCTTAAAGGACATGATCCTCGAGGCCGTCCGAATCGTCCATCAACTGAATCAATACCTCGATAGAGCATCAAAGGATATCCATTCCAGGATTCTGCAGACCCTCCAGAAAGACCATCAGAAAGCGATGGGCGCGTCGAACTGGAATCAGTGGTCCGACGGTTCCTAGATTCAAGTTCTTGAGATGGGATTGTCGCAGAGTCAAAAAGGTCACCATTCTCAACATGATGGAGTATATGGGGGCGTGGGAATGGTGCGAAAGACAAGTCCAGCTGTCACAGGCAACGATCTAGACGAAGAAGGGTAAGTTGGTGAATCGCCGAGGCGTAGCCATTTATATACTAAATGAAATGCAAAACCTGCGCATGGACAATAAACAACCTGGGAAGTGGATCAGCGGCGTTGGGAGGGTGTCTGTGGAAAATGGAGTTTGTGGATTCGATTGCTGCGAGAGTCGGGGCATCAGTATCACTGAGCGCGACAAGCGGTTACAACGAAAGCGGATTAGCATGCAGTCCAGCAGAGATCAAAAGCTGAGTACAAAGCTGGTTAAGGAGCTGGGCTTGGGCATCTTATTTAGCCCGAATATCTAGTAAGTCTTATCAATTGATGCTTCGACACTAACAAGATATAGTCTTTTCAGGAGTATACGAACATGACTATAGAAAAATTTGATCCAGGAGGTGAAATCAAATCCAAAACGAATGCAATTGTTCCGTATCCTCAGTCTGCAACTGGAGCATTTAATTTTCCAAGGCCCCCTTCAACATCCTTCCTCAACATCCTTCCTGCAGCATTCTTCCTGCAACACTCTTCCTCAACATTCTTCCTTCAACACTCTTCCTCAATATTCTTCCTGCAACATTCTTCCTGCAACACTCTTCCTTAACATCCTTCCTCCAACACTCTTCCTTAACATTCTTCCTGCAACATTCTTCTTGCAACACTCTTCATCCTTTCTACAACATTCTTCCCGCAACACTCTTCCTCAACATCCTTCCTAACACTCTTCCTCAACGTTCTTCCTCAACATCCTTCCTCAACATCCTTCCTGCAACACTCTTCCTCAACATCCTTCCTTCAACACTCTTCCTCAACATTCGTCTTCCTCAACATCCTTCCTGACACTCTTCCTCAACATTCTTCCTCGACATTCTTCCTCAACATTCTTCCTCAACATCCTTCCTGCAACACTCTTTTGCACTCCTCTCTTCTCTTGTTATCTGAAATGTCGCAGTTAAAAGCAAATGTGGATTGCCCTGACTGCGGCAAGACAGTTTTGGCCTCGAATCTAGCCAGGCACCGAAAACGCCACAATCTACCTCCGATACCGCGTAAGAGCCCTACGTTCTTCTGTCCCATTCACAAAAAACATTACGCACGCGCAAGCAAGAGTCGACACAACCGGAGATATCATGGTGTACGGTGTCAGAGGCCACCCCAATTTAGCCACTACCTCCAACGAGCTCAATATGGCATTCAGAAGTGTCGGGATCAAGTACGAGATGTTCTTGTACGAACTGAGCAGGCGGGAGAGACAGGAAGAAGGCTTTACACGGAACTCCGTGATTACGAGGCGGACGTTCTAGACAAAATGGTTCCGGGAGAACTGATGACTTGCGCTAAGTACCTCGAAACGGACTGGGCCGAGGAATGGAGGCTTGAGCATATCGAAACTAATCGAACCGCCGATCGCCCCTTGAATTGTGTAGTGCTCTGCAAGATGACCGACGTCTCCCAAATACTGGAAGGTGGACCCCTCCAGATTCCTTTGATCGTTCCTCACGAGTGGAATCCTACAGAACGAACATTGCGACTGGACGACTACCTGACCTATCTAAGCACCAAAGACACCATCGAATACCACGATCCACTACAAGATATTGTCATCGAAGGGAAATCTCCCATGCCACGAGCTGATCCAGCTCCAATCGTGGTCCAAAAGCTAAAGAATGCCACGATTCATAACCCAGTCAATCTCCTGAATCTAAATCGTTTCAAACAGAATGCGGTTCCTGCTGGATTGGCTGACGTCCACCGCCTTCATATCCTTGATCATATATGGGAAATTGGAGACAGCGGAAAGAGGATGATAGAAGAGCCTCGTGACCTCTCATCATGTACAGGCTTCCAGATATTAGGCTCTGCAGGTGCCTACAGCTCATGGCACTGGGACCACGTTGGGGCTATCACCACGATCACGAGCGAAACCGGAGAGAAGTTATGGCCCAGTCTCCCCCGTCTCACAGATGCAGAGCTGGAGAAGTTTCAAGAAGATTGGAGTATCCCTGACGACAAACCTCCGATCGCGATTTTCCTCCGCGAAGGAGATACGATGATACAACCACGTTGTCGACTACATGCTCCCTACACGATCTCGTTAGCACTCATGACGGGTACCATGCATTGGGATCCGATGGAACTCAATGAAGTCCTCAAAAATAGCCTGTACGAATTACGCCATGATATCACCAATGAGGATCCCCCCAAGGAAATGAGGGCAAAACTTCAGGTAATCCTGGACATGATTCAGTCAAATCGAGGGGGGAAGCTGTACAAATGGAAAGGCGGTAATAGTCGTGACGAGCTTCAAGAATTGGCACAGGTGAGTGTTACTCGGCTGACCTTTTTTTGATTTTATGCTGATATCGACCTTATAGCTATGGGACTCGGAAGCACCGCCTTGCAACTGCAGACGGCAGAACTGCGATGAAACATGTAGATGTTGTAAAGCAGGGCTAGACTGTGATGACTGGTGCCATGGTGGAAAAGCATGTAAGAATAAAAAATAGCAGCCGTTCAATCGAAAGTGGACGACCGGAGGGGGTTGTCGAAATAGCTTCCTATCTATATAGGACTACGGGCGGCATCGACTTCCACGTCTCGCATGCGTTCAGCAAGCTAGATACACGATAGCTTTGGCACCCCGTGACAGTTGTTGGCTTCATGCAGCAACCTTCTTCGGATTACTCTCGAATTGGAGGAGTCGAGAACAGGGAACCGGTAAATTCGAATACTCTACAAAGATTTTAAGTAGAACACTCGAAGGGACTAAAACAGGGAACCACAGCGCTTGAAAAATAATTAGCCGGAGTAAATCCGAATTTGTACTACTACAAACTGAAGGAAAAAGAATCGAAGTGATACTAATCGTATTGATACTGCTTGTAGCAACACAAGCCGAAGTGATTCTAATCGTATTGATATAACTTGTAGCAACACGAGCCGAAGTGATCCTAGTCGTATTGGTACGGCTTGTAGCAACAAGAGCCGAAGTGATACTAATCGTATTAATACAACTTGTAGCAACAAGAGCCGAAGTGATACTAATCGTATTAATACAACTTGTAGCAACA